TACTCTAACCCACTCCAGGAGTTCGGCAATGCATGTTGGCCCAGAAAAGTCCAAAAGCAAACAATCCCCTCCTTAACCTGGCATTTCCTAAATGAATTTGATGATAAATTCATGTCCCTCCCTTTGTATTTTCTTTTTCACATCTTTATTGAGATATAATTCATATATCATACAGCAATGGTTTTTAGTATATTCAGAGTTATGCAACCATCACTATAATCAATTTTGGAACATTTTCATCATCCCCAAAAGAAACCCTATGCCCTTTAGCTATCACTCGTAACCTGTGCCCTCTAAGGAATAAGAACAGCTTTTTTTTTTTTTAAAAGATTTTTATTGGGGAATTGGGGGGATGGGAACAGCACTGGAGAATTGGGGGAAGGGGAACAGACAAGTTCCTGTCTTTTTGTTCTTCAGTCTAGTTGTGGAGGATGTTGCTTCACCAGCCCAAGCTGGCACCATCATTGCGCTCTTCCCGAGCGAGGCAGATCAGTCGTCGGCTTCTGGACGGCCGCTCACGGCGGCTTGAGGGCCACTCACGCTGGCTGCTAACTACACACGGTAGCCCATGGCAACCCACTGCCACAGGGGCTGCAGCCTACGCCCTCACCGGCGACTCACGGCAGCCCAGCTCCAGGTTGAGCAAGAACAGCTTTTTTGAATCAAACGTTTTCCTAAGCACTTTATTTGTATTATTTAATTCTTATACTAACCCATGGGATGTGTACTCCTATTATCTCCATTTTACAGATGAGGAATTTGAAGTTCAACATGGTTAAGTAACTAGCCCAAGTCTACACAGTTAGCATGCAATGGAGGGAACATTTGAACCCAGGCCATCCATCTGATGCCAGTCTCTGCTCTTTTATTTTTTTTTTTTTTAAGATTTTATTAGGGAATTGGGGAAGGGGGACAGCCAAGTTGTTGTCTTTCAATCTTAGCTGTGGAGGGCACAGCTAGCTTAGCTCCAAGTTCAGCCGCCATCCGGCTGCCCATTGACAGCTCGTGGCCACTCAGCTCAAGGTGCCAGGTTCATTCTTAGTTGCAGGGGTGGGGAGGCGGTGAGGAGGAGGCGTGCAGCCCACCATCCCAAGTGGGAGTTGAACCAGAAATCTTGTTGTTAAGAGTGCATGCTCTCATCAGCGGAGAGCAGCTCAGCTTGGGTGCAGTTCACTGGCCCTATGTGGGACTCGAACCGGCGACCCTGTTGCTCAGAGCTCGAGCTCTTAACCAACTGAGCCACTCGGCCGGTCCAGAGTCTCTGCTCTTAACAAATCACCACCCTCCCGTCAGCCTTTGCTTTTCCCTGCCACTCTGCCCACCACTTTATTGGTACCAAAACATATTTACTGAGCTCTACCAAGTATTTCGCTGAAATAACAAGTTAGCAAGTGAGTAAAAGAATTAATAGAACTGCATTGTTGGAGCTGGAAGGGACCCAAGTGGTGGCGTACATTCCAGGATAACAGCTCAGTCTGATGGATGGGGAGGCTCTGTGATTCATCCAGGGTCACAAGGTGGGGCAGAGACCATGTCAGGACTAGGTCTCTTCACCTCCTGTCCAGAAGTTTTGACATCACGCCTGCTGTGCTTCCATTCCACACATGTTTATTAAGTACTACTCTGTGCCAGGCCCCAGTCTGAGCTTCGTCTGAGGCAAACAGAATAAGATCCTTGGAATCCTACCCTGTCGTTCTCCTCAGGGACGGGGGCTTAGGCCTGGCAGGGTCCTCCTGGGCTTCAAGGCTCTCCTGAGTCCTCCCGCATGCAGGGCCATCCCCTGGACTTCAGCCCAGCTGTCTCTGTGTCCCTTGGAGGGAGTGTGCTGGGAACGGGAGGCAGCCAGTGGCCTGTCAGGGGCACAGGGCAGGCCAGGAGGAAGGGCCCTGGGTAGGGTTCATTTCCTGGCACCCTTGTTTGCCGCGTGCCCCTGGCTTCTGGTGGCTGTTTCCGCCCCGCCCACAGCCTCCCTGGCGGAGTGGGCAGCTGGCCTGGGAATGAATCCTCCCAGCATCCTCAGTTTCAGCTCTGAGCTGGGCCCTTTCCCCTGAGCCCAATAGACCCAGATGAGAATCCTGCTTGCCCCACCAACTGCATGACCGTAGCCATATTCTTTTGTTAGCCTGGGCCTTGTTTCCTCTGTTGGAATAGGGGATACTGGGACTGACCTTACAAGCTTGTCATGAAGAATAAAGGACATGGGTACACATAAAGGGCCTGGCACAATAAGACTCCCAATAAAAACTGCTATCCCTTTTCTCAGCCTAGCTCTCCCCCATTTTCCTCCTCCAAAAAGGCTCCCAGGACGCCCACTTTATCCTGTCTCCCCTTCCCTGTGTTGGGTCCTAGTCTGAGCCCTGGGGGAGGCCTGTGATGGGGGTGCTATGATAGGGTCCCCCAGGTGCTGATACCCACTCTTGGGTGTCCATTTTCTTGACATACGAGTAGACACGCCCATGTCCCAAAGTGAATGGGACCGAAAGGGACCCTCAGGGAGCCTCATCCATTTTTCAATGGACCAGATTCAATTTGATGGGCAGCACTGAGCTCCAATCCAAGCAGAGCACTGTAGTAGCAGCTATTGGCTGGGTGGAGAGAGGGAACCTGAGCTTGCTTTTCCTGGAGAACAGGGCCACTGCTACCCTCACCCCATTTCAATAAAAAAAGAAAAACATTTATTGAGCTATTTCTATGTGGCAGGCACTGTGCAATTTCTCATTTATTCTCCACAATGACTCTATGAGTAGGGTGCAATTTTTAACTAAATTTTACAGGTAGAGAAACTGAGACACAGAGAGCTTAAGCAACTTTGCCAGAATTAATAAGTGACATCTGGCCAAATGTGAAAAATGCTCTATCAGAGGGAGAAACAGGGTTGTGCTGGAGCAGAAACACCTGTTGAGAATCAGGGAGCCTGGGAAGGTGGTGGTCAGTTGGTCTTGAAGGAAGAGGAGCTGTCAGTGGGCAGGAGGAAGCCGGAGCGTTACTCGTAGGCAAAGGCCTTGAGAAAGAGGCCGGCAGGCATTTGGGGGATGAAGGCCTGCTCAGTGAGCTGGGCTGTGTGGGGAGGGTGGGCGTGCGGAGGGCAAGGGCCGGAGGGAAGCAGGCAGTCAGGGAGGACCTCAAGGCCGGGGCCAAGGAGCTGGACTTAGGGCTTGGTTCTGCAAAGCATCCAAGGTTGGGCTTTGGGTGGGGTCAGTTCAGAGGGGAGTAGGAGGGACTCCTGGGGCCAGGTGATGATTCCCTAAGGAAAGAGAAGGAAAGGGCACAGTGTGTGGCCTGGTGCCCTGTCCCCCCTTGAATGATCTCAGTTAACCATCCAACAGTTTCCAGAGGTGGGCATCATCATCACCGCTTTACCAATAAAGGAACTGAGGCTCAGAGCTGACCAGAGGTGAGTTACAGGCTAATTAATGTACATTGGGGTGGGAAGCCCTACTGTCTGGGATGAGGTCAGGGCCCACGCCATGTTTGCACACTGGCAGTGATGGTGGGTGTACAGTGCTCTGAGGTCTTCTCAGGTGTTTATTGCTGCAGAGAGGAGGGGGGTAGGCATGGGGTTAATGAAGCAGGGCCCTTGGGATTTTAGCTGGAGTCACCAAAAGAGATAAGAAAACAATGGTACTGGAAGGAAGGAAGGAAGGAAGGAAGGAAGGAAGGAAGGAAGGAAGGAAGGAAGGAAAGAAGGAAGGAAGGAAGGAAGGAAGGAAGGGAGGGAGGAAGGAAGGGAGGAAGGGAGGAAGGAAGGAAGGAAGGAAGGGATGGAGGAAGAAAGGGAGGGAGGGGAGAGCAGAACTGAGGGGCTGGAGCCCAGGTGCAGGTGGTGAGAGGCCTGTGGGAGTTGGGGCCCCAGAGGGCTATCATGGGTGAGCTTACTGTGGGCCTAGCCTGATCCTGTGGAGCCAGGCTGGCATGGCCTGGTAGACATCAAAGCCAATGCTGGTGCTCCTGGAGAAAGGCCTCTAAGAACTTCCCTCTGTCTGTGGGTTTGGGGTGGACCCCTTGGGGTCCTTCCTGGACTCTGACCACCTTATCTACCTCCACCCCTGTCCTGGAGCTGCAGGCAGTTACCAGCATCTTCACCCTGGAGGCCCTAGAGGTCCCCAGACTCACTGGCTGTCCTTGCTGCTGACCTCTCCCATGTCCTTTGTATCCCACAGCCACTAGCTCCTGCCCCAATCCCTCACCCAAATATCTCTTAAGTCCATCAACATCTGTATAGCAGGACAGATCTCATCCCTTCTCATTTCTATCCCTGGATGAGCCCCCAGATGAGTCTCCTTGACTGCCAACCAGAGGAGGCTTTTGAATCTACAAAGGCTGTCAGCTCATTCCTGGGCATAAACTGGTCAGTTCCCTTCAGTTCCGAGGCCAGCAAGTTGAAGCCCAAACTCCTGGCCCTAGTGCTTTTCTAAGCATGTCCCTTACAGCCAGCTATGCTGTGACTGCTGCCCTGCTAACCTGCCCCCTTGTACCCTTAATGTATCTGGCTGTCCTCTGCCCACCCTCCACCCGCAAGTTCCCTTCTCGGCAGTGGAGATGGGCTGTGCCCTCACTCTGCCTCACTACTATGCCTGTCCTGGGCTGCCCAGAGCAGTTCTGCCACTAAGGGAGTAGCCTGACATCCCCCAAGCCCCATCTGACTCCTTTCCTCAGAGGAGCCCTTGATGTCCAGGACAAGGTGGGGAAGGGGACTCCCAGGGGGAAAAGGGCAAGACCCAGGGGGGTCATTTTGTAGGAAAGTGAAATCTTCTTCATCACACCCATCGGGCTAACAGTTAGCTGAAGAGGACTGTGCCAGGGGCCTGTCTGAAACCCCTGCCAGCCCCACCCATCCCCACTAAATCATTCTTTGTCTCTGCTGTTCCCTCAGCACCCTTTCCCCCTCCCCCCTCTACCTTCATGCTGCCTGAGTCATTTATACCCCAGGGCCCTGGTTTCTGTGGGCGATGCTGTAATATCCTCCCCACCCCTTCCAGGGAGCCCACGTGCTACCCTGCCAGGTATGGCTGCCTGCATTTTAATAGGAAACTTTCCCAGAGGAGGCCTTAAGCTTTGGAGGGTTGCCCAACCGTGAGAATTTCTGTGATCCTGGCAGGAAAGAGAGGGCTGTTCTGATGAGGGGGAGCTTCTGCTGCCTCCCAGATCAAACTCCAGATAGATGCCCTGCCTTGCCCATCAGACTGGGGGTCCTGAGAGAGGGGCTTGTGCCTCCCCCATGTGCTCTGCAATCGACTCCACTGCCCTCTGCTGCTGTCCACTCAGGGGTAAGGTCCACAGTGAGGGGCTGACGGTGTCAGGGTGAGGGGCGAGGGCTGGGAGGAGGATACAACCTGTGTTACTCAGGGCCCAGGCCCGTCCGGAGCAGGGTGGGGGGAGGAAGTGAGTCAGTGGGCACAGCAATTCATGCCTCAGAGTTCTGACTTTCCTTTTCAACCCACTGAGCCAAGACGGTTGTCCCAACAGGATCCTGAGGTGGGGGAGGAACAGAAGCAAGAGGTTATTTACCAGACAGAGCTGGGCCTCTCAGTCGTCTCCCCTGGGATCCCTTTTTTAGGGCCATAAAGAGTATGTGGCCGACTGAATTCAGTTGGACACAGAGTGGTTGAAGACCCACTGTGCGTGAGGGAATGTCATGGGTGCTGGAAATACAGGTGTAATCGACAGTGAGCACAACTACCATCCAGCGAGTGACTTCTCGGTCCTAGTTCTGCTCTTTTTCAACAAACCTGTGAGTCTGGTATCTTTATGTCCACTTTACAGTGAGGAAGCTGAGGCTAAAAGAAGCGAAGAGACTTTCCAAGATCACAGCCCTGAGTTCTGTAATCACACTACAAGCCCAGGCTACAAGTCAGTGCAAGACCTGGAAGATTCAAGAGTAACTAGGTGCGTGGAGGGGGGGGGGTGAGGGTGGGGGAAATTTAGGGGACAGGGGTGAGGGAAAAAAGTGAAAATTCATGAAAAGTTTTGAAGAACAAGTGGACATTTTCCAAGTGGTCAAGAGGGTAAAGGGCACTCCAGGCAGAGGGACCAGTATGTGCATAGATCAAGTGGCATGAACTGGCCCCAGGGAGTCTGTGGAATTCTGCTGGAGATGGCACTGAGCCAGAAGCTGTTACAGGGGAGTGGGCTGTGGGTACAGGGAGAGATGCTGAGCCCATTCTGGACATTCAGAATCTGAAGAGCCTGTAGGAGGTGAGCCAGGTGGCTGGTGAGAGTTGACCACCAAGGCTGTAGCCTAGAGGAGCTTGGGTGGGTATCAGCAGCAGGTAGGAGAATGCTAATACACAAGGGGTGGTCTAAGAGACAGAGGGATTAGGACCATGAACAGACCATGATGGGCTGAGGAGTCTCAGGGCGAGGGGGTGCTGGAAAGGGACAGTCAGAGAGGAGGGCCAGGAACCATGCAAAAGAGTTTAATACAAAGGGCAGTCAACAGGGTCACTGCTGCCGCTCTAGAGAAGTCAAGGGCAAGAACCAAAGACAACTATTGGGTTTGCCCATCAGAGGAAGCTGATGCCAGGGAGGAGGTTTTAGTGAGATGGAGCGGGCAAAAGTCAGGTTGGGAGCTAGAAGGGGCCATGATAACCCAAGGGCAGGATCCCTCCTCCAGGGAGAGACAGGTGACTCCACTCAGAGGATGTGGCTTCTAAGCTGTGGTGTCCTGGAGGAATGGAAGGTAACCAAGATAATTGGGGCAAGCACCGCAGTATTTTCAGCTGTAAAGTGGAAGACATCTCCACCTCATAGGGTTTTAGAAGATAACATGCATAAAGGGCTGGGCTCAATAAATATTAGCTCCCTTTCCGCATTCAAATGTACATAAAACATTCAGAGACACGTAGTCACATAGGAAAACACATATGAATGCATAAAGCATCATGTGCACAGATACGTGTTCCAATCAACATACATGTAGGAGTGCCCTACTGACAACCACACGTGGTCCTCCACTCCCAGGAGAGTCTCTAGGGAGTTAGTAAGAGTTCGGGGGAGGGAGGGGTAGATGAAGCCTCTCACCTGTCCAGATTTCTCACCTGAGCACAGAACCCTGTCTGTAAGTAGGCATCTCCCCCACCCCCCCAGAAACAGCACTGCCCCTGGGGGCTGGCGACTCAGTCAGCCAGGGCTACCACATGGGCCCCATGACCTCCCAACTTTGAAGGGGCCGCCTTGGCATGAGATAGAGAATGCTGGAGAGCCCACCAGAGATCTAACCTCCAAGCCAGGAGGGCAGGCCATGTGCAGCAAGGCCACGCTATGGGTGGCAGGGAAGGACTCATGGAGAGGGTTGGAGGAACAAGAAAGACGGTGTGTGGGGGGTGTTGACTGGCAGGGAAGTTTCCTGATGTTTGGGGCCTGCTCACCAGGGCCCTGAAAGAATCACTGCCTATTTATTCCCAGAACCCCTTTGCTCTTTCCCTCTTCCACCCAGGCATGCTCCACCACACCTGTGCTGGATGTCCAAGTCAAATCAGTGCCCTGGGGCCTTCTCACTCTCTCCCTCCCTCCCTCTCTCTGCCCCTCACATCTTACAGAAATTATTACAGCAGCCCCTTCCTGCTGGCTCCTTCTCTCTTGTCAATGCCAACTTCATTCTGTGGCCAAAATGTTCTTTCTAACTCGCCCG